CATACAGAACTGGGGTACAGGCCAGAGATGCGGTGGGTGAGAGGATTCACCAGAGACAGAGCAGGGAGCAGAACAGGCAGGTCGACGAAGTACACTGCTGAGGGGAGCAGCGGGCTGGTCAGGAGAGGTCTGTCACAACATGTGGTCACCTCTGGGGCAGGCGGGGATCGAACTCATGCGGAAGTGGCTTAAGCTTCTTAGTGGTGTGCTTTAACCCGCTGCACCACGGAGGGCCATACCCAAACAATTTTAACTACTTTTTAAAAGCAATTTTAAGTCCTAATAAAGAAATTAAGAAAGTACAGAGGGTCCCCACATTCTCCCTACCCCCAAGATGCATCATCTGCCCCAGTGTCAGCCTCTCCACCAGAGGGAGACATCTTTCCTTTCCCATCATCCCCCACCAGAACAGGACATTTGATACAGTGGGTGAAACTACATTGATACTCATGAGCAGCCAAAATTCATAATTTACTCTCGGGTTCAGTATTGACATTCTGTATTTTGTGGGTTCAAACAAGTGTGTAATAATATGAATGAACCATTGCAATATCATCTAGCATATATTCACAGACCTATTCAACCTCCCCACCAAATAATTTTTATTTATACTTTTGTTTCTTTTAACAGATAATAATTTGAATAGATAACACAATTATATTTTCTAGTTTTGCCTAAAAATACCATTACATTTCATTTCTGTATATCCTTCTAGAGTTTTTAAACGCATATACATGAAAAAAAAATTAGTCTATTCTTGTTTTCTCATTTATAAAGCACAGAAAATACATACTCATCGTCACTTTTCTGTCTGGTTTATCCCACTTAATTTATATATATATATATATATTTTTTTTTAAAAGATTTATTTGTGTATACAGAACTGGGGTACAGGCCAGAGGTGCAGGGGTGGTGAGAGGATTCACCAGATACAGAGTGGGAGCAGAATAGGCAGATCGACAAAGTACACTGCTGAGGGCAGCAGCGGGTGGGGCAGGAGAGGTCTGCCACACCATGTGGATCACCTCAGGGGCAAGCAGGGATGCTAAAGTGGCTTTAACTTCTTAGTACTGTGCTTTAACCAGGGAGGGTACAATTTATATATTTTTTGAAAATTTTCTTTATTAGTCCTCATTCATAATAGCCATGTAATATTATATTAGATGGTTGTATCTTCACTTGTTTAACATATCTCCTATTTATGAACAATTGTGTTGTTTTAATAGATAAGGCTACAGGGAATTACCTTGTACCTGGATAATTTTATACATGAGCATATATATTTTTAAATTCTCACAGGTGGGATTGCTGGATTGGAGTTTACATGTATAATTATGAAATCCAGGCTTATAGACAAGCTGCCCTTTTAAATTTCGGTATTCGTTGTGTTAGAGGAAAAGCGTTCTAGAGTTTGACAATTAAGTACTCCAGCTTGGAAGTGTCACACTTAAAGTTTATTTACAGTATTTTGGCTCTAAGCACATGTTCTTCATAAAAGTCAGCTATCTAACTGGAGTTTCCTTGTGTGTGATGAATGCATTTCTCTTGTTGTTTTCAAGATTTCCTTTTGTCTTTGTGTTTCACATTTTACTGTGATATGTGGGAGGGGGTCTCTCTTCACCCTAGAGTTCATTGAACTTCTTGGATGTGTAGGTTGCAACCATGCACCACTTAACAGCAGGGGTAGTTTTATTGCCCAGCATTGGGCTAGGTATCTGTTGTGCATAGAAGCCAGATTATTATGACACCAGGGTTGTAGTAAATAAAGAAGCTTTATTGTGAATTCATTGACAAGGAGAGGAGACACAAACTCAAATCTGCCTCTCTGGTTAAGAAATACAGGTTTTGGAGGCTAGGGTTGAAAACAAACAAGTTAATTTATATTGGCTGAAAATCAGGTTAGGGGCAAAGAAGTGTATACTAGACTGAAATTCACTGACTAGTTACAGGACAGTTCATACATGGATAAGAATGAAGAGGTTTTTCTTTGGATAGATGGGGTTTTGACTATCTGTGGGTGTGCTCATGGCCTCTGGGTAGCCTGCCTGCATTTGTGGTCTTCTGGCTCTACCCAGGCTTGGAACTCAGTTCAGGTTAGTCACTTCTTACTCAGGCATAAACAAACTGCTCTAAATACAGTCCTCAGGAAGAAAGGTATTTTTTTTTCTTTTATGCTTTAAAGCCTAAAAGCAATTTAACCATTTAGTCTTGGTTACGATGCTTTTTATAATTTCTTTTTATTCATAGTTTCACTCATATTTGAAAAATACACCATTAGGTGATTTTGTAGTTGGTTATGTTACAGTTATACAAACTGGTATATAAACTACAGTTACATAAACAGTTATACAAACTATATAACTGTACAGTTATACAGTTATAGAGTATATGTTATCCTCCAAACACTACTCATTTTTCTAGTGTAGCAATTCAGGAGGTCATTTTGGAAGAGGAGCTGGGTCACCCAAAGCTTTATAATGCTCTTGTAGTGTCACTAGGCAGTAGGAATCTGGGGACCTACATCATATAAGCAGTCTATCACTGACCAAAATGTCAGTATGTGGTACATAATTTTATTTTCCTTCAGACAAGGAATGTCATTAATCATTATTTCTTCAAATATTTTTTCTACTTCTTTTTCACTTTCTATTCCTAATGCCCCCATTTTGTGAATGCTGTTGCACTTAAAGGTGTCATACAATCCTATAAGGCTCTTTTATTTCTCCATTTCTTTTCCCCACCTCTGTTCTTTATACTGCTCTATCTTTGATACATTCTTCTTGCAGCCAAAATATACCTATGAGGCTCTCCAGTGAATATTTCATTTCAGTTATCATCATTTTCAACCCCAGAACTTCCATTTTTTTTTTATAATTTTTTTCTTTTTTCTTTTTTTATTTGATGGATAGCATCATGTCTTCTTTTGTTTCCTTAGACATGTTTCTTTTACTTATTTGGACATATAATAACTATTTTTAACTCTTTGCTAAATCTACTACCTGGGCTCCTTGAAAGGCAGTTTCTGTTGTTGGATTTTCCCCCTGTATGAATTACACTTTCCTCTTTCTTGCATATCTCATATTTTTTTTTGTCAGAAATTGAACATTGAGATATAGCAGCCCTGGGTGGTACTTCCTCCTCTTTCCCAATGACTTCTTATTATCTGTTTGCTTAGTGAGTTGGCTAGACTGTGTTAGTGTCTACTTTGCTCACAGTGTGAAGCTTCTAACCAGATGCTCAGACACACAGTGTTGGGCAAGTGCACAGTATCAGGATAACTAGACTGTTAGCTAGGCTCTCATCTTCTATCTCTAAACTCTGTTAAACTGTCTTGCTTTATTGGTGTCTTACCCAGCTGCTAGACAGCTAATTGCTCCATTGTTTTCCAGAATGGAGACAGTGGGCCTAAATTACCCAGTCTGGTATTTACTTTTTTTTTTTTTTTAAGATTTTTATTTTATTTACTTGTGCATACAGAACTGGGGTACAGGCCAGAGGCTCAGGGGCGGTAAGAGGCTTCACCAGAGACAGAGTGGGGAGCAGAACAGGCAGATCGACGAAGTACACTGCTGAGGGGAGCAGCGGGCGGGTCAGGAGAGGTCTGCCACACCATGTGGTCACCTCCGGGGCAGGCGGGAATTGAACTCATGTGGATGTGGCTTTAGCTTCTCAGGGAGGGCCAGCTATTTACTTATTTTTAAAGATTTTTTTTTTTTTAATTTATGCAATACAAGAATGGGGGTGTAGGCCAGCAAAGGTACAGAGGCAGAGGATTCACCAGTGACAGAGTGGGGAGCAAAACAGGCAGATTAACTAAAACACACTGCTGAGGGGAGCAGTGAGCTCCCCTCAGGAGACAGGAGAGGTCTGCTACACCATGTGGATCAACTAGCTGGCCAGGGATGGAACTCATGCTGCAGTGTTTGCTGAAGCTTCATAGTGCTGAGACTTAACCCCTTGCACCACCAGAAAGGCCTCCCCCCAAGTCTGATATTTAAAATCAGATACCATGTTGTCTTTGACACCAAACTTTTGAGACTTATTCCTTCTACTGGAAGGTTCTTCTTTGCTATCTCTCTGTAGTGTTCTTTGTTAAGCTTCCTGCTAGCCTGTACTTGAGTTTATTGATCTCCTGGTGCTACAATTCTTTTCATTCCTTACCACCAAAATCTGGTGAAAGGGGGCTTGCTGTGAATGGCACTGTTCTTACATGGAGTTAATGATTTTCACGGATAAATGTTCTCCATTTGTTGTGTGCCTTTAGGATATTCCCAGAGATTGAAATGGTTCTTGTAAAATAATTTGGTTAAAATTATTGTGATGGTTTTGTTGGTGAAAGGGTTCCTTGAAGCCCCTGGTGCTAGCCTGACTGAAGTTAGGCTCTATATAGGCTTTCTGTTCAGTTCTATAAGATGACAGAACTGAATAGAAAGAACTCAAAAACAGATCTTGGATCATTTCTCTATAAATGTACATCCACTGTAGTAATGCCTACTTTTCTGTGAATGCATTCTTATTGACTAGAAACTGGAAGAAGCAGCATCTCGTGCAGCTGAAGAAGAAAAGAAACGCCTTCAGACTCAAGTGGAACTACAGGCCAGGTTCAGCACCGAGCTGGAGCGAGAGAAACTTGTGAGTGCCATGTGGAGGTGCAAAGGCTTGGGGGTGCTGACCGTAAGCCACTGGGCCGCTGGGCTGTCGGGGAAGTTACATGTTCATGTGTCTATTATCAGTTTATTGGGCACATTCTGTATGCCAGGAACAAGAATAGGGATGTAAAGGTAAAAGCTATAGACGTTGCTTTCAAGATCCCAAAGTAGAAATTTGTGGGATGGGGTAGTAAGAACTGTGATTAAGGTGGCTGTATGTCCTGGTTTGTCTGCTATAGTTTCTGCCAGTCTGGTATAGTTATTAATAGTATCCCTTTTCCTTCTCAGAGTGCTGACTTGGAAAATAAATAGCTATGGAAAAAGTAAGCATAGTTTCCATGACATTTCTCCTCAGTAATGAACGAAGTTGGGGTTTCTGAAATCATGAGAACATAAGAATTCTAGTCTGCTGCTCTGGCAGCTCTGATTCATCTCAGAGGTTCCCATTCTCAGGAGTCCCAGGGGGCAGGTTGCTTCAGGGAGTTCTCGGGTTAATTGGAGTGCAGGTCTTCTCACATTGAGCTACCGTGTGTGGGAGAGTGTCAAGTCCAGTGCCTGTTGAATAGATACTCGTGACCTTTCCTTCGGGAACATTTTTTCTTGCTTGGAGTTGTAATGCATGTGGTTGTGGTAGGAGAGAGAAGCTCACAGATGAAGGCAGTTGTAATGTAAAGGAGTCCTGTACTCAAGGAGATCAGAGATTCTTTCCTCTTTGCTCCCTGCGATGAGTGTTAGTTTTCTCTTAATTAGACTAGGAGGGCTATCATATGGTTTCTCATGACTCTTGGGAGGATGACGTGAGCTAATACAAATGAGATTTTGTAAACTGCAGACTCCTGCTAATATGTGTGAGAGTGCATTTAAGATGTTCATGCCTTACTTTTTAAGTCAGAGATTCAGAACTTTTTAATACAGAAGGGAGAAATCATAGGACTACTTAGGACACTAACTTGCTTGAGTTCCTCCAGGGCTGGATGTGCCCTAGGGAGGGGAAAAGGAAGGTAGATGGCCAGATACATGCAGGAAGAGTGACTGCAGAGCAATCATTCCTTTCCCCTTCAGTTCTAGCCTTTGTCTCTTCCTGCTGTGAATCATTTATTCCTTTTAGAGAAGACTTAGTTAGTAAAGAGGTTGTAACTTTAAGACAGAAAGAAATTTAAAGAGAAGTTATACAGGGAAACATTTCTTTTTCTTGATCTGAGCTGAAAGTATGAAGTGGAGGGGATGGAAATATACCAGGGCAGGGAAACAACATTTGGGTTATAGTTTGGTTCCTGCAGTCCTAGGGTGTGGTCTTGATTGGTGTTGGGTGTGGTGCTCTTGCTTCCTCCATCCCAGGTTCAAAGAATGAGGGACAAGACCTGCTACCCTGAAGGGCTGCCTCATGGGCTGGGCAATCCCTCAGGATGGTGGTTGAGTGGGAGGCTTTTCCTGAGGGCAAAGTCAAACTGTCTTTAAACATAACTCTTTCATACCACCAGATCAGACAGCAGATGGAAGAACAGGTTGCCCAAAAGTCCTCTGAACTGGAACAGTATTTGCAGCGAGTGCGGGAGCTGGAAGATATGTATGTAAAGCTGCAGGAAGCTCTTGAGGATGAGAGACAGGCCCGACAAGATGAAGAGACAGTGCGGAAGCTTCAGGCCAGGTGCCCAATCAGCTTGTACACTATGTCTTTATGTTCTTCACATCGACTAATATACTTCCTGTGAATGGTCAACACTCTGGTGGAAGGCAAGCCATGTCCCTGCCCGATTGGAGGGAACATAGAGGCTTAGCGGGCTGGTTACTTAATGTCAGTCAGGGGCATGGGAAGACCCCAGTTTCTGGGGCTGAAGACTGGCCATATATCTATTTTAGGACAATCTGGTAGGTGTGTCTGATGTGGTACCCTTAGTCATGTTCTAGAATGTCTATGGACTCAGGATCAGATCTGGCTTCTTCAACATGTCCAGGCCACACAGGGCTCGTACATGGAGGAAGGGGTCGCCTCTAAGCCCTAGTTGCAGCTGCTCTGAGGATAAGGAGGAAATAAACATTTTCCATCTGGTGACTCAGGGATTGGTGACACTACTTAAATAACCCTTCTTTTTAAAAAAAACATTTTAAAAGGACAGATTTATTAGGAAAAGGAGAAAGGAAACAAAGAGATACCTGCGCAGTCACAGATAGGGAGGAGAGCTGCTGCCGCTGCTTTGCAAAGGGAAAAAGCCTATGAAAACGAAACAAAACAAAACACCTACAAGCAGGCAGGAGAGCTGCTTATTTAAATAATCCCTACTGGAAATCTTAGTCTTTTTTTTTTTTTAAGATTTATTTATTTATTCATACTGAGCTGCGATACAGGCCAGAGATGCGGAGGGTGAGAGGCTTCACAGAGACAGAGTGGGGAGCAGAACAGGCAGATCGACGAAGTACACTGCTGAGGGGAGCAGCGGGCAGGTCAGGAGAGGTCTGCCGCGCCATGTGGTCTCCTCCGGGGCAGGCGGGGATCAAACTCATGCGGAAGTGGCTTTAGATTCTCAGTGCTGTGCTTTAACCCGCTGCGCCACCGGGGAGGGCCGGAAAACTTATTTTTACAAGTTCTTGACATCTAGATTTTTTTTTTTCCTTAGAACTTTTAAAGTCTGGTTTATTATTTACGGTAGTCTTGTGCTCAGATGAAAACTCTCCACTTTTGGACTTTGTCACAATATGGAGAATGAAGTAGAATCAAGAGTCCAAAGACAAATTTAAACTATCTTCTTCTATTTCTAACTTTGCTTCCCCATTTACTTTCTTCAAGATGACTCATCTGGGGCTGCAGCGCTAGGCAGTATTTGCCCCGGGAGCAGCAGTGGGTCAGTGCAGGCACGCCTTGAGCGCTGACCCAGTTTATGGGACCCCTTGTGGGTTGAGCTGCGGTATTTTCCTTCCTTGCCTTTCCACATGTGGAACAGCAAAAGGTCTTTTTTAAAATATTTATTTAGGAAGAGAGAACAAAAGATTTCTTTATTGTATACTTAACCAAAAGTGGCCTCAAAAATAAATTAATTAAGGCTTGAAAACTTTAATTTCTGTGAAGGAAAAAAAAAATCTTCTGAATAGAAAATTAAATGCTTAGCACATTAACGGCATCTATAGATCCCACAGGTAAGTCCCTGAGCTGTGGTGTTAGCTAAGTTCTTGAAAAGGCCATCTCTGGGCAGTGAAGTTAACACAGAATCCACTCTTTGGGAAAGTCTGAGTCCCAGATATCCTAGAGAAAGGCATTCTAATGGACAATGGATTGTTTTTGTTTAATCATCTGTCATATATTGTGAGTTTTAAATTGTACAGAGAATTCACAGGTGAGCTTTTACTATGTATTACTTTTCTGTGGTTTTAAGGAGGTTGATTATGACCCAGAGGGATTAGATCACAGAGGGATTCAGATAACCAGCAATTTGTTAAAGTATTATTTGTTTTGTATTTATAGAATGAAAGATATTTTGAATAAGAGACAATTTTGGACAATGAAGTTGATAGTTTTTAATTAGAGGCATACATCACAATCACCCATAAAGCTTTTTAAAAATGCACATATAGAGACTGCCTCACACATGTACTAAATTAGAATGCCTGTAAATAGGAGCAGGATATAAGTGTTGTTATTTTAAAAATTCTGGTTAATTATTTTGTACACTGATTTTAGTAAGCAGGTTTCAGCCTTTTGAATGCAAATATATTACATGTGACTGCTCCAACAAACTTAAAAATCACTGCACAGAGGAGTATAACGGACCAGGCGAGAAAATAATAATAATAATGAACAGCTATATACCAGAGACATTTTATGGGGGTGGGGTGGGGGATAGGATCAAAAACAGTGGAGGTAAGGAAATGCACTGGACGATGGTTATGGCACATGGGTGATTTGGTGATGGGGAAGCCTATGGGGATTACAACTGAGATGGAAAAATGCACAAAATGATGTAAAAATAAACTATTATATTAATTTAAAAAATCACTGCACAGAGTTTAATGTTTTTCTTGGTGTGCAAAGACCATTTATAAATATAATCATTTTATTATTACTTTTTTTTCCAAATTTATTGAAGTAAAGTAGGTTTACATTTTTTTATCTGCTCTGGGGTTTATAGGTTCAGAACTCTGCAAATGTATGCTTCCACACCCTGCCTACTGCCAGTGCTCCAACAATCTCTACCATATCCCACTGGGCCCCTGCTTCCCCATCTCTCACTATTTTACTAGTTTTGATTATTTTTCTCTCACCTTAGTTTTTGGAACTAGAAATGAACATATTAGCCCCCTCTAGTGGTCATTTTGTCTGATTGCCAAAGGGAACATTCACTTAGCTCTCCTCACAGTAGGACTTTCTCATTAGAAAATCAAGGACAGATGTCATTGGGTTGGAATAGAAATATTTAAGTCTGGCACTAATGAAATCAAACATTGTCTTTAGTCCAGGGAGTGTACAGAGGACTTTTTTTTTTAAAAAGATTTATTTATTGTGCATACAGAACTGGGGTGCAGGCCAGAGGCTCAGGGGCGGCGAGAGGATTCACCAGAGACAGAGCGGGGAGCAGAACAGGCAGATCGACGAAGTACACTGCTGAGGGGAGCAGTGGGCGGGTCAGGAGAGGTCTGCCACGCCATGTGGTCACCTCTGGGGCGGGCAGGGATCGAACTCATGCTGATGAGGCCTTAGCTTCTCAGTGCTGTGCTTTAACCCACTGTACCACCAGGGAGGGCCCAGAGGACTTCGTAGTTTTCCTGTTCTTTGTATAAATAATAGCAAGTTGTTCTTGGAGTATCTGGCATGTCATGTTCTTCCAATGATGGTCCTCTCTCTTTCAGTGCCGTTAAGTTTTTCTAGTGGTACTTTTTATAGCAAATCGTTTAAATATAAGAACTTTGACCTGAGCTACCTCATGCTTGTCTTTTTTTTTTAAATTAAAACTGAAGTTTGTTTTTTGATACGTAACTCTGAAGGTTTTCTAGCCTCTCCTGAATAGGAACTCAGAAAAAATTGTTGACTTATCATTTGGACAGCTCAATCATTGAAGTTTTTGAAGCTGAGCCATAATATGTCCCATTTAAACTTGCACTTGCTATAGGCTTCCCTGGTGGCCTAGGGACTAGTCTCAGTGCTATAATCTCCATGGCCTGAGTTTGATCCCTGGCTAGGGAGCTAACTCACATAAGGTGCAGCACACCTCTCCTGTCTGGCTCACTGCTCCCCTTACCAGTGTATTTCAGGGAATCTGCCTGTTCTGCTCCCTACTCTGTCTCTGGTGGATCCTCTCATCACCCGTACCTCTAGCCTATCCCCCAGTTTTATGCATAAGTAAATAAATATTTTTAAAAGAGACCTTCCCCTGCTAATTTTTTGGATCTGTAATATTTGAGGGCATACATGCCTATATGCCTAGCACCTTATACAGTACCTGACACATTAACCTCCAAATGATATTTTTTGAATGACTGAATGGATCCACATTTTACTCATTGGAGCCACTGTGGACTAGCGATTTCTTTCCCACAAGATATAATACCTTTAATGTGTTTGAAGGCAGTAAGGAACTGAACTCTAAGGACATTTGGGTTTGAGTTCCAACTCTGCTATTTTCTGTTTAATTTAGAAGAGTTACTACTTTGAACCTTCAGTTCCTGACCAGTAAGATAAGGATACTTTTTAATCTTCTAGGGTTGCTTGGAAATTACATGTGATTTATGCATGCAAATGGCTTACTGTAATGTCTGACTTTGGGTAGTCAGTTACTTGGTTTCTGTTCTTCTAATTTGCACATGAGAAACATTTGATATGTAGAATGTCAAAATAAACATTCATAAATGCTATTGACACGCTGGGATTAATAGACCAAGAAGATAGTTAAATATAGCAATAGAACAAGTACAGGATCTAGATTTGGCTTAATAGCAATTTATTTGAAAAGGTTCAGAGTTTTACTTCCCTGTGAAATGACTTCCAGAACCCTCCTATACACTCAGACAGCTTAATGGATATGAAGTATCCAGAGCAAGTAAGGTATTAGTCCCACTGTAGTAATAACTTTTTTCAACATTTAGTATGTGACAGACATTGTTCTAAGTGCATTATCACATCTTATGCATTAGCAAATCTTGGGTGTTAGGTGAGTTTCTATTTTTTTTTTTTAATAAGTGAGGATACAGAGGTACAAAGAGAGTGATTAGTCTTTGGTGAAGGGGCTTGTTTGCAAACCACAGAATTCAACTTGTGTTAGCTATAGCAAAAAATGAATTTCTTGACAGGTTTGTAAGAAGTTCAATTCCATGCATAGATGGATGGCCAGGTCTTGACACAGTTAAGAACTAAGGGAGACTGAGCAGCACCAAACACAACCCATACCAGGCCAAGGGAATGGTCTGATGAGGATGACACTCAACGGTGTTATTTGTCACCGTTGCTCTTCTGTCACATGACACTCAGTATTGCTGTTACCAGCATGGCAAATTCTTTTGCCTTTGTGTCACACACTTCATTTGGGAACATCACACTCCAAGAGACAGCTAAGACACTAGGGATAGTGAATGGGAGAGCTCATCTTAGCTTGAGGAAGAACTTTCTAAGGATTAAGGTTCACCGTAAATAAACTGGCCTGATGTCTGAAGTGGTGAATGACATTGTATTTGAGCAGAGTTTGATACCCCTGTGCAGGTTGTTGTAGAAGGAATCCTAACTGTTGTGCAGGTGGGATTTGGTAATGGAGGGCTTGAGATGGGAGGCTCAACCAATAAGGACTGTAAAGTCTGTTGCTTCCTTTGTTGTTGGTTCTAAAAGAGCAAATACTCTTAGGTAGTAACTTACTATAATACTGATGGCTTGGCCCCAGGATGCAGTGTGTCCTACCCTGAACTGACATTAACCACATTGTTTATACTTTGGGTCTGTATGCCAGTTTATTTATTTAAATACCCACATAGCTGGATATTTCTCAGATAGTTAGCCTGTTGTTAAAAAATGACATTTTGGGGCCCTCCCTGGTGGCGCAGCGGGTTAAAGCACAGCACTAAGAAGTGAAAGCCACTTCAGCATGAGTTCGATCCCCGCCTGCCCCGGAGGTGACCACATGGCGTGGCAGACCTCTCCTGACTCACCCGCTGCTCCCCTCAGCAGTGTACTTTATCGATCTTCCTGTTCTGCTCCCCATTCTGTCTCTGGTGAAGCCTCTCACTGCCCCTGAGCCTCTGGCCTGCACCCCAGATGTGTATGCACAAATAAATAAATCTTTAAAAAAAAAACGACATTTTGGAGTCACACAGACTTGGGTGGAAATTCACTACCACCTGTGCAACATGTCTTTGTTTTCTGTGGTTTTGTCTGTAATGTAGGGATGGTAATGCTTGCAGAATTGCTAATACTGAAGGTACAGTGTCTGGCATGTTAGAATTGTGTCTATAATCACTATACCTTTTGTTAGCTCCTTCTTCTCTCCATTAGTTTAATTATTAGCTTTTTCCTTAGTATAGATTCTTACTAAATGAAAGAATGTTTAATATTATACCAACCAAGTAATTTTTTTTATAACAGTTTATTTTTACATCATTTTGTACCCAACCAAGTAATTTTAAGACTTGGCCTTCCCAGTGCAAATAAATGAACCCTTACAAGTCACTTCAACTTTGTGCTTCATTTATCTAAATTATGTATAGTAATAGTACCTGAGTTTATTTTGAGGATTTGTTGAGAAAATATTAACTCAGTTCATGGCACAATAAACCTCCATAAATGTTACTAATTTTTTTTTCAAAGATTTATTTATTTGTGCATACAGAACTGGGGTACAGGCCAGAGATGCGGAGGGTGAGAGGATTCACCAGAGACAGAGTAGGGTACAGAACAGGCAGATCGATGAAGTGGAGCAGCTGGCGGGCCAGAAGAGGTCTGCCCCGCCATCTGGTCACCTCCGGGGCAGGCGGGGATCAGACTCATGCGGAAGTGGCTTTCACTTCTCAGTGCTGTGCTTTAACCCGCTGCGCCACCAGGGAGGGCCTGTTACTAAATTTTTTTTTTTTTTTTCAAAAAATGTTAAAGCAGAGCTTAGAGCAGAATATATGGGTATGGGTCTCTCTGGTTCCAGGTTTCCTCTTGGTGAAGTGAGAAAGGTGGATGTGGATGACTTTACACACCCTCCTGGCTATAAAGTGCCCTGCCGTCTGCTGGGGCAGGTATAGTGATGTGGACAGATGTGATCCTGAGCTTTCCACTTTGCAGGCTATTGGAAGAAGAGTCTTGCAAGAGGGCTGAACTGGAAAAGTGGCATTTGGAGCAGCAGCAGGCCATTCAAACAACAGAGGCGGAGAAGCAGGAGTTGGAGAATCAGCGTGTTATGAAAGAGCAGGCCCTTCAGGAAGCCATGCGACAGCTGGAACAGCTGGAGTTAGAACGGAAACAAGCGCTTGAGCAGTATGAGGTAATCATTTTTTGATATGTGGTAGCTTTAATGAACAGGGGAACTTACAGTACTTGCCTTAGGTGGCCCCAACAAGTGATTTTCTGTATCACCCTTCACCAAATCTTAGGGTTTTATTAAGGCTCTAACTCTTCAGTCACAGTTACAATCTAGATCCTCAGCAATACACCACACACCATAACACATCCTCTCAAGGCTGTATCTATAGAACAGTTTCTTGGAATGCAGTTTCTTCCCTTAGAATAGGGAAGAGACCTTCCAGTTTGAAGGTTGATTTCAATGGTCATTTTTTTTTTATTGCCTTCCCTACTATTTCTCTTGTCAGTTAAATGCTATGTTTTGGAAAATAATTTTTTGATTAAGTTAACATTAGTTTACATTGCTGTTTGTATTTTTGAAGTCTAGGATCCTCCTTCAGGTGTTGTTGCCAAAGTGCACCAAAGTGCATAGTCCACCAAGTACATTGTGCTTCCTTCCCATTTTGTCCTCGCCTTTTCCTCTGATAACCTCCATTCTATAGTTAGCTTTCAAAGATTAATTTTTGAGTTTGGCTTTCTCTGATAGTTTGTTTCATCCAGATATGATTGACACCATCTAGTATTTGTCTTTCTCCTTCTGATTTATTTTACTTAGCAGAGTCCCTCCCAGCTCCATCCATGTTGCTACAAATAGCATGAATTTCTCTTTTTGATTGCTGAGTAGTATTCCATTATGTATATATACCATATCTTCTCAGTCCTCTCATTTGTTTTTGTGCATTTACATTGTTTCCATACTTTGGCTATTTTATGGTGCTGTAATGAACATGGAAGGCAGTTTCCCTTCAGACTAGTGTTGTTGTTGTTTTTTTTTTAAGATTTATTTATTTTTTCATACAGAGCTGGGGTACAGGCCAGAGATGGGGAGGGTGAGAGGATTCACCAGAGACAGAGCGTGGAGAAGAACAGGCAGATCAATGAAGTACACTGCTGAGGGGAGCAGCGGGTGGGTCAGGAGAGGTCTTCCATGCCATGTGGATCTCTTCCAGGGCAGGTGGGGATTGAACTCATGCTGAAGTGGCTTAAGCTTCTTAGTGCTGTGCTTTAACCTGCTGCGCCACCAGGGAGGGCCCAAACTAATGTTTTACATTCCTTGGTACCTAGTAGTGAAATTATTGAATTGTATGGGAGATGGAGTTTTAATCTCTTGAAAAACCTCCTTCATACTGTTTTGCAAAGGGGCTGGACCAGTCTATATCACTACCCACAGTGTAAGGATTCCTTTTTCTCCAAATCCTTACCTACATTTGATGTTTCTCATCTTTTTGATATGGCCATCCTTACAGATGTGAGGTATCTTATTGTAGTTTTGATTTGTATTACCCTGATGATAAGTGGTGAACATTTTTTCATGTGCCTGTTGTCCATTTCTATGTCTTATTTGGGGATGTGCCTATTTAGCTCTTCTGCCCATTTTTTGATTTGGTTATTTTTTTCTTCTTACTGAGTTGTATAAGTTCTTTGTAGATCCTTGATTTCAGTTCCTTGTTAGATATATTGTGTGTGAATTTTTTCTCCCATTCAGTAGGGTGTCTTTTCATTTTAGTTATAGTTTCTTTCACTATGCAGAAGATTTTCAGTTCAGTATAGTCCCAATTGTTTATATTCCCTTTTGTTTTCCTTGCTGTTGGAGATGAATCTGCAAAAACATCACTGAAGCTTATGTTGTGAAGTGTTTTGCATATGTTGTTTTGTTTTCGTTTTTAAATATTTTAATTTCTGGTCTTACATTGAAGTCTTTTATCCAATTTAAGTTGAGTTTGGTGTGTGGTGTGAGACAGTGGTCTAATTTCATTCTTTTGTATGTGTTTGTCCAGTTCTCACAACACAACACAACATAATTTATTGAAGTATGCTCTGGTGTATATTTTGGGTCCTTTGTCATTTACTAACTGTCCATATAGGTTTGGGTTTATTTCTGGTTGCATTCCATTGGTCTGTGTCTATTTTTGTTCCAGACCATGGTGTTTTAATTATTATGGTTTTATAATATAGCTTAAAGTCTGGAAGTCTGATGCCACTGTTTTTCCCATATGAGGCAAACTTACCCCAGCAAATGTGCACATTTAAAATTTTAAAAACAAATAGTTTTACATAATGGAATATTTGCTTACTATAGGGAGATATAGTAAGAATTTGCTTAGATGTAAGAGCTAAGAAGTATCAGAAATAAGAGTAAGAAAAGAAGGCCTTCCCTGGTCGTGCAGCGGGTTAAAGCACTGCACTGAGAAGCTGAAGCCACTTCCGCATGAGTTCGATCCCCGCCTCCCCGGGAGGTGACCACATGGTGTGGCAGACCTCTCCTGACCCACCCGCTGCTCCCCTCAGCAGTGTACTTCATCGATCTGCCTGTTCTGCTCCCTACTCTGTTTCTGGTGAATCCTCTCACCAACCCCTGCACCTCTGGCCTGTACCCCAGCTCTGTATGCAAATAAATAAATCTTTAAAAAAAAAAAGAGTAAGAAAAAAAGATTTTATAGGTGATCAAGCTTATCAGTTAGGGGTCAGGTGGGAGACAGAAACCGTGCAGCAATTTGTGTAGAGAAAATTTGATATAAATAATTATTAACTGTAAAAGGGGATTACCTACTAAGTTTTTTAAGTGGCAAAGCAGAAAACCAAGAACAAGGAATAGCAGATAAAGGAAGTAGCCACTATCTTTGGGACTAAGGCAGGGCACCCGGGCAAGGTACACATCTAGAAGAGGATCCCTTTGTCTCTTGCCTGTTAACCTTAGTACCATGATCCTCTTCTTGGAGAGGGCATGACTTTGGTTGACGTTACTGCAGAAAAGCCCAGCAAGTTGCTATGCCAACTAAACTACTGGGAAGCCGCCTTGTGGGGCTGGTGGAAGTTGCCTACAAGTTAGGAAGAAGAGCAGAGTAGAATGTAGAGGCAAAGCTCCTTCTTCCGTCAGTATCCTTTCAGCCCCTTCAACTGTGAAAGCTTAAGTTGTGCCAGCTGGGAAGGGAAAAGTGTCCTACTGTCCTGGACAGGACAGTAAAGAGTGGATTTGTAGGGACTTACTGCATACAAAGATACCTTGTCCATTTAGTGGTCATCAGAGTGAATCAGGTTCTCTAAGTGATACCTTTGTTAAGTTACTTCACATCTCTGAATCCTCATTTTCAGTAAAGTGGAACTAGTAGTGTTTCCTGCTTCTTAGAGTGACTGAATTACTAGCGAGATAAACTACAAGTAGATAGTAAATGCCCACCTACTTAGCTCTTAAACTACTGGTGTTGTCTGAATAATATAAAATCTACTTTTGTTCCAGGGAGTTAAAAAGAAGTTGGAGATGGCAACTAATAAGACCAAAAGCTGGAAGGATAAAGTGGCCCAGCATGAAGGATTAATTCGATTGATAGAACCAGGTAACACACTCTTTAGGCAATTATTTATTCAAATTATTTTTCTGGTTTTATTTGTACATTTGTATTATGTTAAAAACTTTTTAACTTCATATATGCAGAAACAAAACTGCTTAGGGTAAATATCTCTTGAATAACTTGCCTTCTAATAGATAAGAAGGCCTAGTTAAAATCCCCTTTGTGTGTATCTTCTAGTAGTTTGTGAATACTTCTCATAGAGGAAATTAATAGAGAAATTAATGTTTTGTCTGTGAAAAGGAGGTCATATAAATTGAAGAACATAATAATAATTCCTATGTTTCATATGTTTGTCTTTTAGGTTCAAAAAATCCTCACCTGATCACTAACTGGGGCCCTGCAGCTTTCACAGAGGCAGAACTTGAAGAGAGAGAGAGGAACTGGAAAGGAAAAAAGACTACGGAGTAACAGTGTCTGGCAGAAGTAGCATCAGTTGTAGATTCCAAGTATAGCCAGAGAGCTTTATGCTAAAGACAAAAGAAACTGGCTTTGCTGCTTCTAACTCTTCTTTCGGTGTCTGCCGTTGGGTCAATATTCAAAGGATATCTTATTTATCTTCTTGCAAATCAGGGTTTACCTGAAAAGAAAATAAGTGACATTGTCAAGCTCTTTACGCTTTCTTTAAAAACTTTAGCTACTGAAAATTTTTCTTTAGCTCTCTCAGATTCTTGTGGGATCGAGGCTGGGTACACAAGGTGCAGTCTGCAACATCATCTACAGTGTTTGGAAAGGAGCAAGAGGTACTCAGGATCATGGGATAATCAGAGCCTCTTCTTCCTTCTCCAAGTTTCTAGACTAGATTGGCCAGCCTACTTGCCATTCCATGCCGGTTGACCTTTGGCTTTTGCTGCTCTGATAGAGAAGCTACGAGCAGCAGGTGGACCTTACCTGGACTCTGCTGTTGGTTGTGCAGGAGCTGTCTGTTTCACACAGTGTTCCTGATTTGCATGCTTGCTGCAGTGGCACTGTGTGGGAGACAACAACACTTGCAGTGAATTGCTTTGGCTAGTATATGTGTTTGTGACTCAGAGCTCAAGAAGTAAATCTAGTAAATCCCATTTGGAATGATATTTGATACTAACTGAACTTCTAATATTTAAAATGGTTTCAACTGTCAAAGTGCAGACGCACCTCTTGGTTTTACTTTTGTAGTTACTGTACAGAAAATTTCAGGAATGTATGAATGCTTGTGGTAATCAGGCCTTTTTCTTAATAAATAGGGATATGATCATTTATAGAAATCATACACGAAAAAAGTTTTTAAAATGTATTTTTGTGATGTGCTATATTGAGAGGGAACAAAATATTTATAATTTTCAAGCATCCTTATCTAAATATTATACAATGTAATATGCTCAACTTAATTTTTTGCTAATTTTCTAAGATACTTAATATGTTTTATATGTTTCTTTTTTTTTAGTAAAATGGATTCAGTAAGAAAGTAAAAAATACAAAAACTTGTATTTTGTTTAACTTTATTGATTTTTTTTACCCAATTTACTTACACTCAAAAAAAGAGAAACAGAAACAATTCATTCATTTCTCCCAATTCCCAACTGCCCACCTCCATCCTCTGGCAACCACCTCTGGCAACCACCAATCTATTCTGAACTTGTTTTTTCATGTGTATATATTTTTAGTTTCCCACATATAGGAGAGATTGTATAATATTTTTCTTTCTCTGTCTGACTTACTTCACTTACCATATCTACCATATGTATGGAGTTCAAGGAAACATCTCAACATTTATCTAACATTTATCTACATTTAACAAGTGGCAAGGTTTCATTTTTGATGGCTGAATAATATTCTTTCTCTGTGTTTATCCATTAATAAACACTTAGGTGGTTTCCATATCTTGGCTAATATACATAATGCTTCTCTGAACACAATGGTACATTTATCTTTTTGAATTAGTGTTTTCCTAGTCCAGGATACTCAAACCTGGAATTTCTGGATCATGTGGATAGTTCTATTTTTTGAGGAATCTTTATACTGCTTTCCATTGTGGCTGCACCAGTTTATATTCCCAGCAACAGGCACAAAGATTCCCTTTTCTCTGTGTCCTCATCAATACTTATTTTTACTCTTTTTTGAATAGTAACTATCCTAAGGGCCACCGTGGAGGTACAAGGGGTTAAGTGTCAGTACTATGAAGCTCTCCGCAGCCACTGCAGCACGAGTTGAATCCTCAGCCAGGGAGCTGACCCACATGGCACAGCAGGCCTCTCCTGCCTTCCCTGCTGCTCCTCTCAGCAGTGTATTTCAGAAGATCCACCTGTTCTGCTCCCCACTCTGTCTCTGGTGAATATCCTCTCGCCCCTCATCTATCCCCACCCCCTGCACCTCTGGCCTATACCCCAACTCTTGTGCGTATAAATAAATAAAAGTAAGAAAGAACCATGCTAACAATTTTGAAGTAGTATCTCATTGTGGTTTTGATTTGCATTTCATGATGATTTATGACCTAGAACATCTTTATATCTTCTATTTGCTATCGTATCTACATGCCTATTTTTCAGTCAGATCTTTTTTGTTGTTACTGAGTTGTATAAGCTCATATATTTTGGATAGTAGCTTCTTCTCAGATCTATAATTTGCAAAGATTTTCTCCCATTCAGTAGGCTGTCCTTTCACGGTCTTCTTTGCTGTGCAGAAGATTTTTATTGGATGTATTGATAGTTCTACTGTTTGTTTTTTTGTTTTGTTTTGTTTTTTGTTTTTTTTAAAGATTTATTTATTCATACAGAACTGGGGTATAGGCCAGAGGCTCAGGGGCGGTGAGAGGCTTCACCAGAGACAGAGTGGGGAGCAGAACAGGCAGATCTACGAAGTACACTGCTGAGGGGAGCAGCGGGCGGGTCAGGAGAGGTCTGCCACGCCATGTGGTCACCTCCGGGGCAGGTGGGAATCGAACTCATGCGGAAGTGGCTTTTAGCTTCTCAGTGCTGTGCTTTAACCCGCTGCACCACCAGGGAGGGCCGCTGTTTGTTTTTTTTAAAGATTTATTTATTTATGCATACAAGAACAAGGGTACAGACTATAAATGCAGGAGGTGGGGTGGGATGACAGGATTCACCAGAGACAAGAATGGGGAGCAGAACAGGCGAGACTGTTCTGAAATAACACTGCTAAAGGGAGGAGCAGCGGGCTAGATAGGAGGTCTGCTGCACCATGTGGGCCACCTCCTTGGCCGGGACTCGAACTTAGGCTGCAATGTCTGCGGTTAGCTTCATAGTGTTGTGCTTTAACATGTTGTGGCACTAGGGAGGGCCCAGCTTCATTCTTTTGCATGTATCTGTCCAATTTTCCTAACACCATGTATTGAAGGGACTTTTTTCCCCCCATTGTATTCTTGACTCCATTGTCATAAGTTAATTGACATATAAGTGAACATTTATTTCTGGACTTTCTATTATGTCCCCTTGATCTATGTGTTTTTATGCCAATACTGTGCTGTTTTAATTAAAACTTTATAACATAGTTTTACAGATGATACCTCCAGCTTTGTTTTTTCTCAAAATTTCTTTGACTACTCAGGATCTTTTATGGTTCCATACAAATTTTTGGATGTCCTATTTTTGTGAGAAATCTATAGGGATCATATCAAACCTACAGGTTGCTTTTTGTATGCACATACAACATTTTATAAAGAGATTCTGAGCTCAGATTCCCTTTCCACTTATTTTTGTCTTGAGTTTTTTTCATTTCAATTCATTTTTCAATTTCTTCAGAAATTTTCAGTTTCCAGGTCTTTTAAGGCCTTTGTTAAATTTATTCCTAGGTTTTTCATTCTTTTGATGCAATTGTAAATATAATTGTTTTTTTAATTTCTCTTTATGATAATTCATTATTAGTATATAGAAACACATCAAGTTCTGTATCTGGGTTTTGTATCCTACTTAATTCATTTATTCCAGGTTTTTTGATGGAGGCTTTAGGGTTTTCTACATACAATATGACACCTGAAAATGGCCATAGCTTTACATCTTCCTTTCTGATTTGTACCCATTTTACTCTTTTTTTGTGGCTAATTGCTCTTACTAGGTCTTCCAGTACTGTATTGTTGAATGAAAGTCAAGTGTGGGCATTCTTGTCTTGTTGCTGATCTTAAAGGGAAAGCTTTTCACTGTTGAGTATATTAGTTGTCGATTTGTCATAGATGACCTTTATAATGTGGAGATGTATTTCTATTTCTGCTTTGTTGAGAGTTTTTTTTTTATAAATAGATGCTGAATTTTGTCACATGCTTTTTGTGCATGTTGAGATGATCATGATTTTTATCCTTTGTTAATTTGTGTATCACATTCACTGAATTGCCAATCTTGAACCTTTCCCACACTCCCCAGAATAAATTTCATGTGATCACAGTTCATGATTAAGCCTAGAATGCTGAATATTTAGAGTATTCCTTCACAGAAAGCCTGGGGAGCATTGCCCAGTGCCAGAGCAATGTCTGTCTCATTGCCACATACTCATAGGACCTGGAAACACAGACACTCCCCACCTTGTATCAGAGTCAGACAATTACGAGATGTCTCCAGGGCAACAGCCACAAGAACTTCACCGCCAGACATAAAAACAGGGTACGAGACACATCGAGCTCCCCTTTTAGAAACACTGGCAGTATGAGCATGAAGACAGCATTAGTTCTGAGGCCACTGAGAGTGTACGTGGTCAGCACAGGCCAGTGTTTAATTAGAATCCAGCCCCTCAGGCATCTCCTGCTAATTCACTAACAGGCCTCATTTCACAGAAAAAGGGGCACCTGGGTCTTTTGCCACTTACTATGACTTCAGGGTAGAAAACTGTTACAGACTTGGATCCTTTAGCAGAGCATACGCCTCACTGGCCACCAAAGCCAGGCACGGAGAGGTGTTTTCCTGCAGCTGTCGCAAAAATTCAGAGTACCACATGGTAAGAGCAAAAAAGGGGCACCAGAAACACGTAAAAGCTCCCTTCCAGGAGACACTGCAGGGTGGCCTGTAGTGCGGTAAAGGGAGGGTGAAGGGCGCCGCCAGCCCCTCCCCGCGAGCATGCGAGCAGCCGCCTGCACAGGTGTGTTCAGTTAGGTGCCGCCTCGCACGCTGCGGCTTTAATATAAGCAGGTGAGCTGCCGCCTCCGGGAGGTTGGACGCCGCCAACGCCGCCTGTCTGTGAGCTGCACCCAGGTATGTCTGATTGGGGATTTCCAGAATGCTAGAATAACGGGTCGTGGGAAGTGACCCCATTCGATTTTCTTTCGCTTCTCAAGTGGATGTCTTAAAAGCTAGGCAGGGGTTCCACCATATGCGCCTCAGGGAGAAGTTTACTGTCCCTCTGGGACCAGGGCCTGGAGTGCTGCGGGGGTCAGGCCCTGGCCTCTCCCACTTACTTCCATGTGTTTTCGTCTCACTTGCCGGATGTGTGACTGACCCTCACCAGTTTGGGGGTTTTGTAAGGAAATTGTTCCATAGGTAGCGGTAGACTTGGTGACCTTGGGCTGTGTGTTCAGGGTTTTTCCATGATGCTCTTTAGGAGAACAGCGTAAATTTGAACTGCCTTTGGCAGTAGGCTGTGGTGGTGTGCATCTGCATATTTTCATATAATGAGATGGACTTGGGTTTTAGGGACAATTCTGACTAACAGTGGGTTTGGTGTTTGGACCCCCAAAGCCAATGTTACTGCACAGCGGCCGTGGTCTCATGCTTGATGTTTGAGTCACGATGTGGCTGATGTGTCAGCTCTCCAATGGCAACTTGCAAAGATGATTCCCTTCTGTGTTGTTATCTCCAAGACCTGTTACTCCTGCTTTCCTGAAATTTCTGTTCATGTTTCTCGGTTTTTCTTATCGTTTGACCAAAGTAAACTTCTGTTGTTTTGGTTGTATGTGGTCGCCAAATTAAAATGCTTATTGTGGGCTAAGCAGGCCCACTCTGTCCAGCTTGAGTGTGTCTTGAAAAGCTGCTCTTTCCCTTCTAGAGGGAACCAACACACTGGGTTGGTATTTTGAAAACTGTTCCTTGCTGCAGTGGTGTTCAATTAGAGACAATTTAGTTCCTCGGGACACTTGGTAAGGTGTCCCGTCTGGAGACATTGTTGGTGTCACAACTGGGAGGATTACTGGCATCTAGGGGGTAGATGCCAGGCTTGCTGCCAAACACCCTACAGTTCCAAGACGGCGCCCGTAACAAAGGATGAACTGATCGAAGAGCCAAAAAGAGCCGAGATGGAGTGAACCTGTTTTACAGAGCAGGTAAGTCCTATCGTCGAGCACACAGTAGACCCTGAATCACGGTTCCCTTTAAGGAATCCCAGGAACTGCCCTCTGGTATAAATGAGGTGCACCTGGAATGGGGAGAGGCCTCTGTCA